CTTTAATACTAAACTCATAAATATATGCACATAGATCTATTTCCCCATCCTCATATATAAATATATTTGCATATGTACATGCCTTTATCTAGACCTCTATAAATGCCCTTTGCCTCCCAGCTCTTTCCTCTATTTCCCTTGACTTTCAACAGAGGGATCTTTCTGTAAGGTAGCCTCACTAGCCATTTTCTTCTGCTGAGTAAGAGCCACCAGTCTCCCCTCCCTTTTCCCGAAGAGGACATTTTCGTCTAGGTGAGAGTCGGTGTGTCTCTGAGAAATGCTAGCAACGCCTTTTGGAGATGCTTTTCAAGGGGTTGTTAGCATCCAAATGTTGAGGAAAACACCTGTAGTCGGCCACAGCCCTCACCGACTGTCACAGAGGTGGTCCTGGAGGGGGGTTGCCAGGTGACAGGCTGAGGGTCTTCCTCCTTGTATACAAGAGAGAAAGGGCTCAGTTTTGTTGTTTTTTCAGAAATGGAGCAGAAGAGAAGCTCATTACTTCCTTGGTTACAGATAAAGCCTTTGAAGGGTTTTTCCACAGATGGTACTTTCTGAGGGGAGGGCTCCCTGTGGAAGAGGAAGAAGTGGGTGTCTGAGGCCCAAAGGCGGGGCCCTTGGAAGCCATTGGCTCCTCCCAGAATGGGTTAGTGGGCCTCAGGAACCCCTGCCCGCCCAGCGCCTGCCTGCTGAGAAGATCCTGCGTTCATTGTGTCACTCGGGGCCCAAGAAAGGTTTGGGTAAAAGATGTTCTTCACGTCTGCTTTTGCTGTGGACACACGCTGCAGGACTCCAGTCACTGAGCCCCAAGAGCAGGAATCCCGCCTCACGGTGTGCCCCTTGATCTTTCCAGGTGCCCCTGTTGCAGCAAGGCCACCGGGAACTGCAGAGCTCACTGCGTCTGAGAACAAACCTGTATTCCAACTGCGGGGGCTTCCCAAACGCCATCCTCACAGGTCAGCCCTGCGACCCTCCGCTGCTTTCTTACTCTCATTTCACCCCTTTTGTGTGTGCTGCTGTTGTAGTTGAGACTACACACCACCAAACATGCACCAGTCCGACAGCTTCCAGGTGTGCACGTCCGAGACGCTGGCGACTGCAGCCGTGCCTACCTTCCATTTTGGGAGTGTCCCCCACTCATCAACCTAAAGTCATCGCCTTCTATAGTGCATTTCGGATCGTCCGAACTGCTCTTGTCACTTGGGTTCTATAGAGGTATTTTTAAAAGGCATAATGCTCAAGGCAGATGTTTTTTAACTAGTTAAGCTAAACTATTGCTTTTAAGAAGACGCGGAGGGGTCTATTTGGTTTTCCGAAGAACGATTATCTCAGGGCAGCCATTTGAAGGGTCTTCCAGCCACCTCACCTCCAGAAGACCGAGCTCCATGAGAATGGCATTCCGTTCTGCTCCCCACCCACCCCTAATTAGGATTCTTGTTCTAAATGTTTAGTCATGGTAGCTGGACACCGTCCAGTTCCCCTGAGCTCCTGGCAGTTGTTCCTGGAGGCACTCTCCACACTGCCTGCTCTCCCTGGCTCCCCTTCCTGTGCTGCACTGCTTGTGCTGCCCTGAGTTTTTCCAGCTTCTGTGTCATTTCTGTTTTGCTGTGTTGTTACTAGCTACTCTTATACAATCAATTGTTCCACACCATGTAATGCTACTTAAAGTCAAAACGCCAAATTCCCCTGACTTTTTGACATGTAGCTCTCTAGCCCCAGACATAGTGAGGAGGTGGGAAAGGGCCCTGCTGCGAAAAGCCTTTGCTGGAATATTCCCTTTGAGGCGATTGATGACCGTTCCAAGAAAGAAAACATCTGTAAGCCTGGAGGGTGATGGAACTGACAGAAAGCAGATAGGTCCCAGCATGGCCACTGCCCAGATGGCCCCGGGGTTGGCTGGGAAGAAGACGGGCCTGCCATGGTCTCTGTCACCTAGGACCCTCCTGCCTCCTGACCCACTCTGTTTCTCTTCTGCTCCTTTCAGAAGACTCACACGCCAGCCTCTTCAAAGACCTCAGCAGCGCGCTGGCAGGCATGCCGGAGGTCAGCCTGAATGTGGACAATCAATTCCCCTTGGAAGACGAGCTCCAGATTGAACCCCTGAGCCTGGATGGCCTCAACATGCTGAGTGACCCCAGCATGGGCCTGCTGGACCCCTCTATTGAAGAGACATTTCGAGCTGACCGACTGGGAACAGAATGGGGCAGAACAGGAGACTTTCTTTCTGAAGCAGCCAAACTTGAACGGAAATAGAACGGAGGCAGGTATATATGCCTGGGCTGTAGTTAATCTCAGGCTTCTGACATGGAACAAACCAATTCCAAAGCTCCAACCTTCCTGGTGGGGCCCCGTCTCACCCGCCATGGCTTATTGTGGACCGCAAGACTGTGCTCCGCTTCTTGGGCCCACCGTACAGACAGGCTGTTGGCTTTCCGGTGGATCAGCAGCTCATCTTGGGGACGCGTTCACCTTCAGCAGGTTAATGTGTAAAGGTAGGAAACACCGTGAAGCGGAGCCTGGCCACATTGACCTCGTCAACACTGAAGGAAGGACTTGGAGCGAGGGAGGCGAAGAGGGACCACGGACCTGGAGCGTGGCGTTCTGGGGCGCGCTCAGTGCCTTCAGTCCATGATGAAGAAGGGCTTTGCCCGAGTCTAAGTTGCCGTGCGCATCATCCGATTGTGCTCTCTGCTGCCGCTTCTGCGCCCTTGCCCTGTGGGAGGGCGGAATGGCCCGGTCTCTTCAGCACTGCAAAGCAGCTCCCCAGTAACTGGTGAGACTGAAGAGCACTGCGCTCCCGTGAGGCTGGGGGACAGAGAGAGGGCTGCGGTGTCTCCTCCAGACAAGCCCCAGACGCGCACACACCTCCTGCCCCCAGACCTGCTGGAGGGAAAAGGCAGCAGGTCGGAATCAGCCCTGGGGCACCTGAGCTTCCCTTCACGTGCAGAGCTGTCTATGGACCGTAAGTGCTCCTGCGACCCCACTGGACCATCAGCTCCTCAAGGGCAAGACTGTGCCTTCTCCCCCTTGGATCCATTGACCCTACCAAGTGCCTGGCACCAAGGAGGTGCCTCATTGATCACACGGCGTGCAGGAATGATGAGGGAGGGAGTGCGTGCACGTGCAGATCTGCCTCGTGCACGAAGGCAGTCCCGTTCCCTGCCAGCTCCTCAGAGCTCTTGGATCTCTAACACTTGAGCCTGTGGTTAACACTAGGTGACCAAAGCCACGGTTAGACCAGGCACCCCTCCATTCTCCTTGAGGAGACTGGCTGGGCACGCTTTGGCCACCTAGGTATGTGATCCAGGCCCCGACCTCAAAAGGTCACAACTAGCCATTAATGCCTTATTATAAAATAGGTTTCCACCACCCCTTGCCTCCCCTGGCCACTGCCTCAGCTAGCCTAAGCTAGAGCCATCTGGATGCCAGCTGGAGCCAGCCTAGCCTGCAGCTCACCACAGGGAAGGGTGGGTGGGAGGAGGGCGTGGCAGCACTCTGTTGAAAGTAAATGAAACGCACCCACCCTCCAGTCGGAGTCTCCTAACTGGGCTGGTGCCACTCTCCATGCCTCCCCCTGTGTCTCTGCTCTCTTCAGAGAGCTGGGCATAATCTGTAACCTGCCTTAGTGGAGGGGTGGCTCCACCACTGGATCAGGAAACCAAACCAGGCTGGCCCTGGCCAGGCTCTGCTGCCCTTGCCTGCTCTCAGGGTGGGGTTGCTTTTTGTTTAAGCCAATTGGCCTTCCATTGTAAATTGAGTACCCAGCTCACCTGCTGCTCTCCCAGAGGACCCCAACCTGACTTGGCCTTTCAGGCACGGAGGGCTGGTGCTGATGTAAGAGTTTTGCATTTTCATCCAAGGCAGTCCCCGCAGAGCCTCCCTCTGCACAGTGCTTTTACCAGAGAGCATCCTGGCCTTGGTGTTGGGGTCCCAGCTCAGCCTGTACAGAAGCCTTGCCTTAAGGCTGAAGACCCTCACACACATAGTGAAGATCACGTGGACCTGTGTACGTCCTCCAGGAGGCTCCCGGAAGGAATCAAGGCTCCCCAGAGTGCTTGCTTCGGCGGCACATATACTAAAATTGGAACGATACAGAGAAGATTAGCATGGCCCCTGCGCAAGGATGACACGCAAATTCGTGAAGCGTTCCATATTTTTAAAAAAAAAGGCTCCCCAGAGAAGAGATCTGTCCAGGGGAGAGTAATAAGGGCGGTGCCTGTAGCACCGAGGCATAGTGAGCTCCTGGTCGGACTGCTAACCAGAAGGTCAGCAGTTCTAAACTACCAGCCGAGAAAGATGAGACTTCCCGCTCCCGTAAAGAGTTAAACTGGCAAAAAAAAAAAAGAGTTAAACTGGCTGAGAACTGCACAGGGGCAGTTCTACCCTGTCCTTAGGGTCACCAGGAGTAGAGACAGAGTTCATTCGTCCTGAGTGCTGTCAGTCAGATCTCCTTTGGAAGGTCTGGAGCATTACACCAACCACTTTGCATAGATGACTCTGGGGGACACCCCGTGGACAGGTGGGGTAAGCCTGCAATCATTTCCGCCTCTAGCAAACCATTGTGACCCTCGGCACTTGAAGTTGCTATTCACTTCCGAAGAAATGCTTTTTCCACATTTAGTCCTGTCAGAAATCAAGTGTTGTACTACTCTTTGCTTATTAGCACTTAAAGCTTGAAACTAAAAACTTAACCAGTTTTGCCTTCTCCCCTGCCCCCTTTCCCATGGGAGAAAGGGATTTTCTGCTCCCATAAAGAGTTCCAGACTCAGAAACCAACAGGGACAGTTGTACCCTGTCCAACAGGCTCCTGATGAGCCAGCACTGACTCGGTGGCTGTGGTTTGGGTTTTGTTTTTTTCTGCGTGGCCATGGTATCACATGGTGTCAGATGTTCTTGATTGTATCAAGGTCCACATAAGTTCTCCGATGTCCTATTCCGTTTCTCCTGCGTCTGCTGTACATTACCTGAGCTGACATGCTGCTTACTCAAGTTCACCCCCTTGTTTGAAGACGCCCCAGGCCTGCCTCTAGTTGACTTCTGATGGGTGCACGGGCGGTTCCCAGTCTGTTTCCACGACTTCATGGTCGGGCCACCGCAGCTCAACTCAGACTTTCTGCCAGTGTCCTACGCCCAAGCCCCCTTGTAAACAATATTTAAAGATCGCATTTGTATAAAGTAGCTTCCTAGGTTTTATAATACATCATTTTACATCTTTCGTAATTAAACGCTGCACAGTGAGGTTGTGTCCGAGTCCTGTGTCTTCAGCGCTGGGTGCCGTGAGTTGGTGAAGCCCTCTCGCAAGGCGGCCGCTTCACAAATCCTCGCACTCTCTACCCGGCCGGCTCTGCAGCAGGGGCCAGAGCAGGGCGCCCTGAGGCCGCGCTCCTTCCAGACCCTCCTGAAGCCTTCTTTAAAAGAGGTTCAGCCGCCTCCGAGGCCACTTCCGGCCCAGGCGCCCCGACACTCCGACACTGCCTGCAGAAACCACTTCCTCAGCCACACCCAGGGCTTGCCAGAAAGGTGACTGTTGTGCTGGTGCAAGCTTGCTCAGAAGTCCCTCCCTTCCGGAGCCCTGCTGTGTGCGGGCTCACTTCCTCTCGTCTCCTGTGGCCAGGACTAGTGCTGCGACCCCTCCAGCCCAGCTGTCCTTTCTTGCACCTCAGGTGGTGACCCCCCCCCAACCATATCATTGTCGTCGTTACTTCATAATGAATTGGGCGACCCCTGTGAAAGGGTCGTTCGACGACCCCCCTACCCCCCAAAGGGGTCGTGACCCACAGGTTGAGAACCGCAGCTGCAACCCAAGAGGAGCCCTGGCTTTTCCAGGCCAGAGAAGAGGATGGTCCCAGTCCTCTCCTGCCCGCAGGAAATCCCAGCCCACCTCTTCTCATCCAAGTACTGACCAGGCCCGACCCTGCTTAGCTTCCGAGATCGGGCGCGTTCAGGTGGCCACTCTGTTCTCAAGCCTGCTTTGCTCACATCCGGAAATCCCAGGCACTCCTAGCCTCCTGTCTGGCCCATCATCTGGCTCTCTAGGAGACAGTGGACTGACAAGTTTTACTGAATCCCTTTGTGCCTCAGGGCCCTCCATATTTGTGGGAGGGGAAGTGGACCCAGACACCCAGAGCACGTGGCAAATGAGACTAGCACATGAGGAATTGTGTTTCCCTCATGAACCCACCACCCTTTCCCAGGCAGGATGCATACATCTTAGGAAACCCCTGGTCAGGACCTCCTGCCCTTGTTTTAAAATGCCAAATGTAGTCATCCTGGGAAAAACATGTTAAGCTGATCTTATCCGGGTCCGTTTTTGTCAATATCCAAGTGTGGGAAGGATGGTTTCACCCAGTGGCTGTGCGCGTTTAGAAACCCTGGTGGTGACATGGCGAGCACACTCGCCGACGGCTACACAGTCAACAGTGTGAGCCCAGAGAGGGCCCGGCTTCCTCGGTGAGGGGACCCTGGGGAGGAGTACTGCTCTGTCCTTGACGGCAGTGGGTGGGTGCCCTAATTTGGACACTAGATGGAGCTAAGAACGTAAGAGTGGTTTGAGGCCCCAGACGTGGCCTCCAGGCCCTCTCACAGGCTAGAACTTCAGCCGCGGCTACTGGGTTACGGTAAGTGCCCTCTGCAGGCACACAGCCAAGAGGCATAGGCACTGCACACCATATGCCCCGCACAACCACCTGAAAGGAAGACGGGCCAAGCCGCCTTCCTGGGCCTCACCAGTGAGCAAGCAGGCCCACAAAGGCCCTGAAGCGCCCAGTGAAGCGTGGAGGCCTGAACTCAGAGGGTCCACAAGCGGGTCTCAGTGCCTCCCCCACCCGCAGCCGGATCCCCAGCTTTGAATGTGCACCTGGGATTGGGCCCCTGCTTCCCCGGTACAGATGCCAGCACTGCCCCCCGTCCTGAGTGGCTGGTCTGGCATGTTTCCTTCTCCGGGCTCCCTTTCCAGCTCCCAAGCTGCCCCATGGGGACGGTCCTGTGGAGCAGGCGTTGGTCTCTGCCCGCCTGCTGGCTGCCCTGGGGCCCATGGAGGGCCTGCCAGGGAGCGGTTCCTTCCCTCTCCCAGGACATTTTAATTTGAAAACCAAACAAACCCCAAAAAAACTTCATTTGTAAAAACCAAACCGGCTCTTTATAAGAAATGCAGTACACGGGAAGAGTCCAAAACAGCATTTTAAAGGGCTCTGGAAACCTAGCATACGCTGACATACACGGGTTGACGGCCGTCTGAAGAACATTCTAAACCTCTCCATGCACGGGTTCAGAGGAAAGGACGGGCCGATGGAGAGACTGCAGCCCCACGCTGGAGAAAGCCTGTTCATACTTCGAATTCACACCGGAGCCTGGTTTGTGACCCAAGTGGGTTTTTATAAAGGACGGAAGAAGTTTCAGGTTTTACAGTCACTGAACACGGGCACCCACACATGGTGGCCTGAGGCCACTTCCAAGGAGAAGGGAGAGGAAGAGGAGGGGAAGGCGGGCTTGAGGTCCAGGTATTTGAGGCCTTTGACTGGGAGGCGTGGTTGGTCTTGGTTCACCCCATTGGCTGAATTCAGCCCGGTTGGTCCGCCCAGGTGTACCGCCCACCTGGCTAGGGCTTGAATTGGCGCATGCCCAGTAGTCTTTATCGCTGGCTAAGGGGTCGCCTGATTCTCTTGCAAGCTCCTGTAGGGTGGGGTGGGGGAGCTTTCAGGCATGGAGAGGGACTCTTCCACCCCCCACCTCCCCGTCCTGCTATCTACCCTAACCTTATGAATAAGGACACTTAAATGGAGCTGAAGAAACTGCCGAGCTGCAGGTCATTATGCTGCTTCTACATGCCCCTTCTCGCAGCTATTTCTCTTACGGTTAGAAAAGTTGTCAGGGCCGGAATCACTCCTTCAGAGCGCTTCCAGTATAGATGACATCTCTTGACAAGGAAGGGGAAATGAGCTCACTGCCACTTCCTGTCTCCTTCCCCTCCTCCCAGATTTGTGAATTCCTATTTGTCCATTGTCAAGGTTTATGCTGTTCACATCCGGTCCTGCAGCCATTGTTCCCACGATTGATTGTCCGGACTCAGGTCTTCCGGGTGTGGAATCCATGCTCACTGCCAGGCCTTTGGACAAGTTTCCCATCCCTGAGAGGTTTGGGTCACCCGCCTGGTTGCCTTGACTTTATCAGCAAGAAGCCTTTCTGAGACTAGCTGCCCCGGGGCTGGACTGCAAGGCTGGGAACCTGAACCCCGAGCTTGAGAGCGAGGGCTATGAAAATGACTGATGGGTGCCCAGTCAAACTCCCACCACAGAGAAAATCCCTGCTGCAGACTCAGTCTCAGACTCGTGTTTTGTGATCCATAGTTGGAGTTTAGAATTTGGAAATAAGACTACTGGGGGTGGATGACTCCAGAAAGGACACAGCACCTTTCTAACTCAGGGACCTGTGATGGCCAAACCCTGACACCCACAGCACACACACACACAACCTTTGACAATAATGTGCTACCTCAGGTTCACCTGGAAAAATCCAGCTTACCCTTCAAGGTCTCTCAAATGCCAGCTCCCCGGGGGAACCTCTGGGAAGGTGATCATTTGGCAAAGTGACTCCCCTTCCCCTCCCACTGTGGCCGGAGTGTCTGTCCTGCCCCTTGGAGGTTGGGCTTTGCTTCCTGACTTGCGTTGGCCAAGGGGAGGTTAGGACAGTAACCGAAACAAAGTCTTGACCTGGGGTTGGTGGTGGGGTGTGCCCTCCGGCCCTTCCAGCATCACCATGAACAGAGCATCCTCTGGGCGGCCCCCTGGCTCCAGAGGAACGAGACACGTGGGCAGAGGGCAGACAAACCCAATTGTGGGGACCCAGCTGCCGGCCACAGCTGAAACCAGCCATCTGCACACACCGGAGCCAGAAATAGACCCCAAGGCCTTTGAATGATGGGATCACTTGTTTGGCGGCATTGTTGTGGCCAGCAATGACGGACACACCCTTTTTTGTTCTTGTTTCCTGAGTGGTACTTTATTCCCACAGCTCATGGTAGTAGTTACTTTATTATTTGCAAGGCTGAGTGTTAGGGGGCCTGCCTCCCCACTAACTGGGAGCAACTAGAGACACGAACTATGTCGGATCCACTTCGGACTGTTACAGGGTTTGCCATCTGGACTGCACCTCCCCTGGGGCAGCCCCGGCTGTGTGGAGAGCCCAAGGTCTCTGCTTGCAGGGCTCTCCAGCAACGTGGCCTGAAAGGTTCCAAAGCCCTGAACTCTGGTCCCCGCCCGCAGTAGGGCCAACACGCAGAGCACGGCAGCCTTTCACCTAGGAGCAGCCGGGTAAGTCACTGCCA